TTTTTATTTTGGACTGGATTAAGTTTCAGGGGCAAATAAGAGATCCTGATTCGATTTAGAACACTTTGGTTTTGAACTTCTGATCTGGATGATTTAGTAATGATTTCGATTTTTAATTTTTTTTTTTCTATAATATAACTGGTGCCGATCAAAGTTTGCTACTTGGCATCATAGGATTTAGATTCCTGGACATGTCAAATATTGATTTGATGTCAATTTGTTATATACGGCATCTATGTCTATGCTCTTCTGTGATGGGTATTGATAAGTGACTTAATTCAAGTTTGGGTTTTAGTGTTTGCTTGAAGTTGATTTGGGTTTTTTTGTTTTTTTAGCAGCTTCTAATGGCGATGGAGGTTACCCAAATTCTTCTAAATGCACAGTCAATTGATAGCACCGTTCGCAAACAGGCAGAAGAAAATTTAAAACAATTCCAGGAGCAAAACCTCCCAGGTTTCTTCGTTTCCCTTGCTGGCGAATTGGCCAACGATGAGAAGCCTGTTGAGAGTCGTAAATTGGCAGGCTTGATCCTAAAAAATGCCTTGGATGCCAAAGAACAGCATCGCAAGTTTGAACTTGTTCAAAGATGGTTGACCTTGGATGTGTCTGCAAAAGCCCAGATCAAAGCGTTCTTGTTACAGACACTTTCATCTCCTGCTCATGAAGCTCGATCCACTGCATCTCAAGTCATAGCAAAGGTAGCAGGTATTGAATTGCAGCATAAACAATGGCCTGAGCTATTAGGGGCTCTCTTGTCAAATATTCATCAGCTTCCAGCCCATACCAAGCAGGCCACACTTGAAACTCTTGGCTACATTTGTGAAGAAGTGTCCCCAGACGTGGTAGAGCAGGACCATGTAAATACGATACTTACAGCTGTTGTCCAAGGTATGAACTCTTCCGAGGCTAATAACGATGTCAGGCTTGCTGCTACACGAGCATTATGTAATGCTCTTGGTTTTGCTCAGTTAAATTTTTCTAATGATATGGAACGGGACTACATCATGCGAGTAGTATGTGAGGCTACTCTTTCTCCGGACTTGAAGATTCGTCAGTCAGCTTTCGAGTGTTTGGTTGCAATTTCTTCAACATACTATGATAAATTGGCTCCTTATATGAAAGATATTTTCAACATCACTGCAAAAGCTGTGAAAGAAGATGAGGAGCCTGTTGCTCTTCAAGCCATTGAGTTTTGGAGTTCAATCTGTGATGAAGAGATAGATATATTGGAAGAATATGGAGGGGATTTTAGTGGGGATTCTGATATTCCTTGCTTTTACTTCATCAAACAGGCACTCCCTGTTCTTGTTCCCATGTTGTTGGAGACCTTGCTGAAGCAAGAGGAGGATCAGGATCAAGATGAAGGGGCTTGGAATATTGCAATGGCTGGAGGCACATGCTTGGGCTTGGTAGCACGGACTGTTGGAGATGATATTGTCCCACTAGTGATGCCTTTCATTGAAGAGAATATTACAAAACCTGATTGGAGACAGAGGGAGGCAGCCACATATGCATTTGGTTCTATTTTGGAAGGACCCTCACCTGACAAGCTCATGCCTCTTGTTAACACTGCATTGAGCTTCATGCTTAATGCTCTTCTACAAGATCCAAATAACCATGTGAAAGACACTACTGCATGGACGCTTGGAAGAATGTTTGAGTTTCTGCATGGGTCAGCTCTGGACGCGCCAATTATTACTGCTGCAAATTGCCAACAGATTATTACTGTTCTACTTCAGAGCATGAAAGATGTTCCAAATGTTGCTGAGAAAGCCTGTGGCGCTCTCTATTTCCTTGCCCAAGGATATGAGGATGGAGGATCATCGTCCGCACTTCTCACTCCCTTCTTCAAGGAAATCATTCAGACACTTGTTACCGTGACACACCGAGAAGATGCTGGAGAATCACGCCTCAGAACTGCAGCTTATGAGACTTTAAATGAAGTTGTAAGGTGTTCTACAGATGAGACGGCCCCAATGGTGATGGAACTTGTTCCACACATTATGATGGAGCTTCACCAGACTCTTGAGGGACAGAGGCTTTCATCTGATGAACGGGAGAAGCAAAATGAATCACAAGGTCTTCTCTGTGGTTGCTTGATGGTTATTATACAGAAGCTAGGATCATCTGAGCAGACAAAATTTGTCTTCATGCAGTTTGCTGACCAAATGATGAGCCTTTTCCTCAGAGTGTTTGCTTGCCGTAGTGCCACTGCACATGAAGAGGCTATGCTTGCAATTGGAGCTCTAGCCTATGCAACAGGCTCTAATTTTATAAAATACATGCAAGAGTTTTATAGGTATTTGGAAATGGGTCTTCAAAATTTTGAGGATTACCAGGTTTGTGCCATCACTGTTGGTGTGGTGGGGGATCTATGCAGGGCTCTTGAGGATAAGGTTTTGCCTTATTGTGATGGAATAATGACACAACTTCTCAAGAATTTGTCAAGCAATCAGCTACACCGATCTGTGAAGCCTCCCATCTTTTCCTGTTTCGGTGATATTGCTTTGGCAATTGGAGAGTATTTTGAAAAGTATTTGGTATATGCTATGCCGATGCTTCAGGGTGCAGCAGAGTTATCAATCCACATATCAGGTGCTGATGATGATATGACAGAATACACCAATTCTCTGAGAAATGGGATATTGGAAGCATACTCTGGGATTTTTCAAGGGTTTAAGGGATCTCCTAAGACCCAGCTATTGTTGCCGTATGCACCCCACATTCTTCAGTTCCTAGACAGTTTGTACATGGAGAAAGACATGTAAGCTTTATGAATTATGGTTGTTCATGGTTATATTCAATTTTAATTCTATGCGTTTCACTTTTTATTTGGATTCAACAGGGATGATGCGGTAACTAAGACAGCAATTGGGGTCCTTGGAGATTTAGCAGATACACTTGGTAGCAATGCAGGACCTTTGATTCAGCAATCTGTGTCAAGCAAAGAGTTTTTAATTGAATGTTTGTCATCAGATGATCCTTTGATCAAGGAATCTGCCGATTGGGCCAAGTTGGCTATCAGCCAAGCCACTTCTTTTTGAGGCCACCACTACTTGTGTACTTAGTCTTGCATGCATTTGGGTGTGTCGAGTTGGGTCTGGAAATGCATATCATGAGTCAGGTCATCGCCGTTTTTGGGTTCAGATGTTTGGTCGGTCTGCTGCCAGTATTTCGCATCAGCAGCATCGAGTCTTTTCCTTAATTATTTTCATTTCATTGTTTTATGTACCATGGAGGAAGTTGGTGGTGATGACCTACACAACCCTCTGCTGACTTGGCAGAAACAGACAGAAAGAGTTGCATACAAAGGAAGAGGAATTAGTTTGGGGTATGGGAGAGTTGAGATAAGAAAGGTTCCAGTCACACCCTGCCAAATGTTTGAAACAGGAATTTGGGAAGGGTAATTCTTTGGAGTGGTGGTGGCTGCAATAGTCTTAGTTGGGTCAAACTCATACCTCATTTTTCATTTCCTCATCTTTATTTTGGTCTCATCACCAGATTCCCGTCTCCAGAAGTATGAATGATCACATGGTTACGTAACATGTCAATTGTCATTGTCATATAGAGTCTGGTCTCCTTCATATTTGTACTCATTTTGTATACTTCGTTGATTTTATGTGGGCTTTGTCATGACCACATAATATGGGGCATTCATATCATGCATTTTGTTTTGTCATATTTTATCTTCACTACAGTTGTTCATTCATTCACTCAATAGTCCAATATATGAATCATGTTTTTTCTTCTTTCTTGTTCAAAGCTTTTCTTCTTTTTGTGATTTTGAATGCTTCTATACCAAAGGTGAGTTTTGTTGAATTTTATTCTTTGATGTCATGGATTGGAGTTTGAAGATGAATCTGGAGCTTCTTCTTCTTCTTTTTTTTTTAATATTTTATTCTTTGAGGATTAACCATTATTAATTAGTTAGATTAAGTATATTCGTTGGTCCTTGTCTCTTTGTAGGTTACAACATCATTAGAAGAGAAGGGTGATATCACACCTAACCAATTTCTTCCAAACAGTGAATTTTTATTATCCGAAATATGAAATTGGCAAGGGTTGAGGTTATAGTTGGGGTTTAAATGAAGCAGCGAAGTGGAATTCCATGGACATGAAAGATGTATTTTTTTTAGTTATGATTGAAGTTTGGTAACAAGTTTCTCATGGGCTGCGTTGTAGTCAACTTATATTGTGACATGACAGCCACCATCTGAATACCATAATGATTCTTCTGAGTGCCACCACACCAGAAATTTAAGGACTGGACGTGCTTTTCCAAGGGCCCCCATCCCATCCCCTTAATGCCATCTCCACGGAAAAAAGGCAAATGATCCTTCAAATGTACACCTAAAATCTTCCTCGATCTGTACAGTAAATTAAGCAGCATGTGCAACCAGAAGTGCAGTACACTGTACACCACAGTTTTATTTATTTATTTATTTTTGAACAATTTTGTAAGAGGTCAAATTTAAATCATTATCTGACGAGAGAGAAGATACATTTAAACATGACTTGACGTTACTTAACCCGAAAGTCCAAGTGTGTACACCATAGTTTTACTTAATTTGCATATATATATATGTCTATGTTTTTTAATTTGAATTGTATATTAAAAATATAATTTATTTTACAAAAACTTATAAAAATATCTTCAAGGAAATAATATAAAAATTATTTCTAATAAGTTATTTTTTATATTATTTTATAAGTAAATTCTACGTTTAATATCTAATTTAAATTTTTTTGAAGACCTATTGTAATTAATATTTTCAAATTTTAATTGTTAATTAAATTTTCCATTTAGGTAGAGTATACATGTCAAATTTTAAATTAATCCAATATTTATAACCTTCTAATCAAAGCAACTCTATTTATTATAATATATTTAACGATGTTAAATTTTATATAATCAATGAAATAGTTAAATCTGCTTAAATCAATATAAAAATTAACAAGTATAACCTATGTGAATAAAACTTGTAATTTAACTATTTATTTTTAAAAATATTAATTAAAATGTGATTTTTAAGATATTCTCTATGAAGGATATCTTACAAATAATATTCCCATCTGTATGTATATATAGACTATAGTAGCTAGGTTTTTGTTTTATATTAAAGTACTTAATTTTATTTTTGCATCCATTTACTTACACATATTACTCATATAAAATTATGATAATTCATTTGTTCATTATAAATTGTTAAGATTTATTTATATTTTATTTTTTAAGAAAATAATTATTTTTATCTAAAAAAACTTAATAAATTTCAATAATTTATAATAAAAAATAAAAAATTCAAATTATGTATAAAAAAATAATATATGCAGGAATTGTGGATAAATAAATCAAAACTCTACCTATATGTGGTGTAATGTAAGTGTAAATACAATTCCTCTGATAATCAATCATGTTGACATGTTGAATGCTGGCTGACCCTCCTAGTATGAACCAAAATAATATAATAAGGCCAAAAGTGGCAAACAGCTGTTGAGAGGCTGCTAGTAAGTTTGCCAACAATTTATGATGGTGCTTCTATTTAGTAGTCGGTCTGTCCAACTACATGAAAATTAATTTCATATTAGTCCTAATCATACTTACTGCTTTAATTTGTGGATCCTCTGTTAAACAATATATATATGCAGAATATGGAGAAGAAGTAGTTGTAGTACAATAAACAATGGAAATTAATTTAATAGAGATTGAGCCATGCAAGGTTGATTGATGATATTGGTACCTAACAAATGCTTTTTTGTTCCTTTTGTTTTTAGGAGGTGCAAGGTGGGGTGGGGAGGTGCAATTAAGGGTAGTAAAAATTAACTTTGGGAATTTTTTTTTTTTTTTTGGTTTTTCGCCTGATATTTAAGACTTCACCCCGACTAATCCGAATCGACCCGCATCGTGCGAGTGAATCTTTCAACAAAGACTGTTGCATACACAAGATTTCGAATTTGAGACCTTACTTAAACTGAAACAAGTCGCTTACCACGTAATCCAACCCTAGTTGGTTAACTTTGGGATTTTGATGATGAGGTGACACAAGTTGACTTTGTGGCATTTTGGTAATGGAGGAGTTGGAATTTTCAGCATCATTGG